GTCAAGGATAGAGATCCTCGTGCCTACGTATCCTTATTTGGGAATAAGGAATCAGAGCAGCCGTAGTTCGGCCTACGGTTGTCGGTTTGACTTTAACGACAGATACTTAGTCGTATTCGATAGAAAATATTACTTTATCTAAATGGGTGAGGAGAGGATGCTTGCATCACTTTGAATGGATTTCCACATATCAACATTCATGGGGAACACGCTACTTATATCGACTCAAGTAGATTATGGACGAAGCAATATTTTGCGTCGTTCTCAAGACACCATATCTCTCGTTTATGAAAAGGTTTGAAGGTTTGCATGGCGGAGAGAAATTAAATTTGATTTGTTAAGCATTTTGGTTTGGAAAAGAGGATAGATTTGAATAGGTTTTAGGGTTTTGATCGCACGAGGACGAGGAAACGAGGTTTGACGTATCAGATGTTTAGCTAGAGGTGACGATTGCCTGAAGCTTAAGAAAGGCTCATTGGGCCTAAGTAATCGAGAAACGAGTTAAAGGCTTAACTCTCTCTCTCTTTTTCACCCTTAATGCGAAAGGATAGGATGTGGTTCGAGTAAGTTAATCGAATGACGATTACTCAAAGCTTAAGAAAGGCTTCTCGGGCCCAAGTAATCGGGAAAGCAAGTCAAAGGCTTGACTCTCTCTCTTTTTCATCCTTAACCGTGAAAGAGGTGAAAATGATTGGAGTAATATAATCGGATGACGATTACTCGAAGCTTAAGAAAGGCTTCTCAGGCCCAAGTAATCAGGAAAGCGAGTCAAAGGCTTGACTCTCTCTCTTTTTCATCCTTAACAGAAAAGGAATGGATATTGTTCGAGTAAGTTAACCGGATGACGATTACTCGAAGCTTAAGAAAGGCTTCTCAGGCCCAAGTAATTGGGAAAGCGAGTCAAAGACTTGACTCTCTCTCTTTTTCATCCTTAACGGACTGAGTAGGAAAAGCATTGAACGATGGTTGAAGTATTTTAAACGGATGAGGATTACTTGAAGCTTAAGAAATGCTCTCGGGCCCAAGTAATCCAGAAAGTGAATCAAAGGCTTGACTCTCTCTCTTTTTCATCTAATATTATGAAATATCTTTGATATAATTAGAGTGCATTAATGAATGACGATTACTCGAAGCTTAAGAAAGGCTTCTCATGCCCAAGTAATCGGGAAAGTGAATCAAAGGAAGATAGATTTAAATTCGTTTCGCATCGTACATCTTTTAAAGAAGACAATTGTTTGGACTTAATAAAGGCTCCTCGGGCCCAAACAATCGAGAAGAGAAATTAAAGGCTCGATTCCAACTCCCTTTTCATCTTTATCGAAAATGTGTTTTAAATATGATTAAGTATATTAATTTGATTTGAGAAAATATTCGATGTTGATCGAGGTTTTAATTTGCATATGGAAAAGTTAATGGTTTGAACCCTAGGGTAAGGAGGTCCTAGTAGCATAAGATAAGGTCGAGGGCGAGGCAAAAACATTTGACTTATGAAAGTAAAAATGGTTCGACGTTGAATCGAGATTTATTTTCAAAATGGTTTAGGTTATGCAATGGTGAGGAGCAAAAACCAATATAGCATTATTATAACATGAGCACAAGATACAAGTAACGACATAATTAAGGTAATTGATCAAATAAAATCTAAGTGATCAACAACAACAAAACCTAAACAAAAAATCAAAATTTGAAAAGGATTAACTTACAACCTACTTAAAAGAATTATTTTTATTAACATCTAAAGTAATTAATAATTCTAAAAGGTTAAATCTTAAATAAAACATAAATTAGAAAAAGAAATTTCAAATGTTAATTAATAAAACATTATAATCTAAAAAAAATTAATACTTAACGTAAAATCGATTCTAAAAATGAAGAAAATAATAGAGCGGTGTGTTAGATTTGAATATGTGCATGTGTGAAAACAAACATGGGCTCAGAAGCCCAATTCAAAGAAAAAAGAAAGTGGAAAGAAGAGATATGAGAAAAAACTCACATGCATTTTAGCTTCTCTCGCTTTAGACCGGTCCACCTATCTCTCTCGAACCTTGCTTCATTTCTTCCCTTTTTCTCCGATATAAGATTGCTCTTGAATCTCTCGGCGGATGTTGAAGCCCTTTTCCGACTTCGTTTCTATTGAGGAGTCGAATCAAACTTCGCCAATGCCGCAAAACCGTCGTTGGGCGCCGCCATGGTGACAGAGCTCCCGGTGTTCGCAAAAGCCTGAAGGATCTGAGAACTAACATCGAAGATCTTAACATGGTCGAAGATTGTGTTGATTTCTATTGTTGTGATTTGTGCATCTCCAGGTTGTTGGTGCAGCACTGATGTTGGTGGAAGTTTTGTTGCATTTGATGTGTATGTCTGTTAAAGATGGTGATATCAATAACCCATGAAGCTGTGTGTGCGGTTGTTCTTTGTCTCCTCGCGATGCCATCAGCGGCTCAAAACTGCTATCGACTCACAATACATTCCCAACAGTATAATAGAGGTCACATATGAAGTTGTTCTGTTTTTTTGGGCTAACATGTAACCAATGATTCTGAATCTTTCTTTCAGCCTTTGGAGCTTGTGTTTCTTACGGCAATCACTCCATGTAATTGGGAGAGACCTTATTTTCAAGCTCAGTTACTCGTGTTTTGCATAATACATCAGGAGTGCAATGACTCTAAAGTTGAGAGTCCTTTAACTCTTTATCAATGTCCATAATGGTCAGGCAATCTGAAACTCCTGGCTTCTCACAAATCACGTTTATATCTGTGTTCGGGCTTGAAGATGTTTCAAGTTCAAAAGAGTTCACAAATTCCTGCATCAAGAGTGCAGAGTCTCCCATAACATGCTCTCTAATGTTGCTAAACCATGATAGGCCTGAGCGGTGCAGATTGAGTCGGGCTGAAATGCGTATTGTCGTTGAAGATGTTGTCGTTGGTTCGACTTAGCAAAACATCAAGCTGCTTGAAGTTATCCCCACCGAAGTTCACATGTGTACTTGAATCGTCATTGTTGTCGTGATGAGGAGAAGAAGATTGTTTGATGTTGTTGTTTTGGAATCCATGGATGAAACGCAGGTTGTATTTGTTTGTGAATCTGTGCACACAAACTGTTTGTGAAACGGTTTTGTAGTTGCTGCCATACAGAACTCTCACCCTTCATTGAGAGGCCAACATCTCTAAATGTGGGTGTCATAACATCATGATCCTAGGGCATAGATTGAGACTTTTATATTTGGTCTCTCTGTCTATGATTCTGAAAGTGCAAGAAGATTGGTTGAGCTAGGAGATCTCATCTTTTTTCCAACCTTAGCGAAGTTGAACTTGCTTTCGTCAAAAGGCAGAAAAAACTCGCCGACTCTGAACTCAGTTGGTCTGTTCCTGAGGTGATGACCCTTGTTGAGCAACGAAACCATACTCACCTGCAATCGCCTTGGTTTCAAAGGCGGTAAAAAAATGGAGGGATGCAAAGTGACGGCCGTAATTGTATGATGGAAAGATTAGTGTTGATGTAGAAGTGAGGCATAGGAGAATTTGCAGTGAGGGAACTTTATGGTGAGCAGAAGCTTAGCTTAAAATGTGATGTTGGTGATGTTGAATGTTACCATAGCTTGTTGTATTATGGGATATTTCAGCATCTGATGAACTTGGTAAACTGACAATGCCATCACTGCGAGCATAACCACTTGTGTGGCTAGACTCAGTTATGGATAATTTGCTGTGATGTTGTCCTTGAGAAGATGGTTATATCATGAGTGAAGAGCCATTAAAGTTTTGCAAGTTGAAGGTAGTGGTGAGAGGGTTGTAGGTTGATGCTTGTGTTGGGTCACAGCGAAAATGGAAGAAGGTCTGTTGGTTCTATCTTTTCTTTTGTTTTTTACTTTCCTTCCCCCTCCTCCTTTTTTAATGTGTTACTCTCTTGTTTTTTTTGCTGCTTCTGTTATTATATTATTATAAGCAGGACTTGCTGTGGCTTTTTTTCTGAAATTTCCGCGTTTCCCTTTTTGTCGTGCTGCAGATGTGTGCCCTTTTTATGGCTGGTTTTTGTTGTTGACAGGTTTTTGAACGCAGGATGTTGATGGCAAGTTTGAAGTTTGTGTAGGGAATTTGTAGGTGGCTGTGTCTGGTGTTGTAGCTATAGTAGATAGCAGCTGTAGAGCAAAAATCTTCAGACCATCTCCATCTCCATCGTCATCTCCTCCCTTCGCCATCTCCACCTTCAGACCAATGACAACAAAACTTCAACTCGCGACGGCGGTAGAGCAAAAATCTGAACCCACAGACATCTAAAACGAAAACGACTTCTAAAACGAAAGAAAAAGGAGCCCAAACCCCCAAATCGAGAATAGAAACCCTAAATTTCAAAAATGAATCAAACAAAACAAAAGAAAAACCGCAAATAGATGTGGCATGAGGTCAATTACGACGTGTTAATTGAAGCTTAAACTATGGTACTTCCAAGTCGCAACATCGAAATCGAGTAGGAAGAAAGGGGGTCAAGTGTTTACCTGAGGCGGTTGCTCGTCAGATGGTGACAAAATAAATATGATGAAGGCGAGACCGGGATAACGGAGAATGTTTCCCGAAGATAAGTACTATGAATTGCCTCTCCTCTTTACGAAACTTTCCTCTTCTCCTTCTCGAATCCTTAGCTCTGAATTCCCTGCGTGTGTTTTTATGTGTGAATCATCCTTGTTTTATAGACTTCAAAGCATTGATATCTAGAATAAATGTGTCTGCCCGGGTTTTGGAAGGATATAATCATTATGAGTTGATTTGAGATTCTTTCCATTTTCAGCCAAACATGTTTAGTAACCAAATGAATGTTTCTACGGACTGTCTTGGAATGAATTGATGGTGACGATTCTTGCATTGTTTTTGTGATTTCGATGATTGTAAGAGTTAATAACTTTCCATTTCAAAAGTTTCCATGAATACCTGTCTTTGAATCTCTTTTGGTTTTGTATGAAAAAAAGAAATCTGAATTGGTCAAGTTATGTTTTGGGAATTCTCATGTTACTTGTTCATGTGTACGGGCCAATGGTAACAAAGCTAGCTCATAAGACAAATGCAGCTTGTTTCTCAACCAACATTCGCGTCGTAAACCTTGTGTAAGTTGAACTGTTATCATCCCTACTGCTATGGCTCTGATGTCTCTCGATGTTGCTCTAATTGACATGGTGATACATTCTTCTCTCGTTGTTATGTTTATGAATAGGTTACGGCGAACTGGGAAAAAAACTCCTCTTTGACATACTCTGTGGAATGCTTGGACGGGCCGGTGCCGTCTGTGGGGTGATTATGGTCTGAATCGGGATGGTGTCTCACTCGGGTACCCCTATCTTCCTTCGTTGATGTTGGATATGAGAAGAGGTATATATGGAATATTCTTTGGATGTTCAAGAAAACTTTCTCTTGTTTTTCAGTAATGAACAAGGTGAAGTTTAATCAAATGGTTTATTTTGGAAAGCAAATAAGTTGTATCCTGAATGACACTTGTCATTACCGTTAAATTATTTCGTTCATGTTTTCAGGTGGTGCCTGGATCTCGACCTCATGCTACTTGGAATGGGAAACAACTCTCTTGAATCTTCTCATCTTTGTCGTACTTCCAGGCGCGATGAGTCTTAGCCTAGGATTGGAGGAAGTTACAGGTGGAGGCTCTGATGCTTCGGTCACTACTCTGCTCCGAGTTTGGTTGCAATTTGTGCAATAATGATCCTATGATTTCTACTTGTTGTCCTAATGCAAAATTCCCACCTATTGTAAGCTTGCTATTCTTTCATGATTTTGTGATTGCATACGCTCCCTATGCACAGCTGTATTGCTGTTGCAGTCTTACTTCTCCTGTTTTCTTTCAGGTTTTATTTTGTCGATTTGTGAAGTAGATCCTGGAACAAGGTCGAAGAAGTTAATGACGATGGTGGTGATGGAGTTTGTGTTGAAAAGCGAATCAAGGACCCTGTATTAGTCCTTAAAGAGGAGCGAAGACGCCTTCATTCATCTTTAATTAGCGACTCATGATCTAACGGTTCTGGTGGCAATGTCAAGCAAAAGGTTTCTTGTAGACATCACTGTGGATTCAGTTTTCAAACCTTTTACGAGGAGCACTCTGAGGCATTTGTGTATGTAACGACACTATGAATGTTATTTTGTACGATGGGCTGTCCTTGGGGTATTAAAAGTGAATTTCCAATTTCGCCATGCTACCAATGGTTCGTTTTGTGTAACATGACCTATGTTTGCTTAGCATTTTAGGATTTGTAACAAATTTGCAGTGCTGTTTTGTATACTTTGAAATCTTGAATGCTTCGTGTACTTTCACATTATGAATAGTTTTTGGATTGATTTATCTGTTCAATGAAAACCTTCATCTATGAAAAGTGGAAAGACTTATCATTACTAACAGTGTTAATTAAATGGTTCTTTGCTGCTTTGTGTTGGGTGTATATTTTGATTTTGATAGAGACAGTGCTGATTGCGAATGGTAGTAATATTCCTCAAGTATTCATGACCATCCACTCTTTCGAAACATCATAGTTTCTTAAAGAGATAACATGACCGCTACCTTGGAAGTGATCTCACAAATGATTTTCAAAGGCAGTTGGTGTGGGCCTCTCTAGAAGACCCATGTCACATGATAAAAAAATGCGAGCAAATAAATAATGAACGTATTCAACCCCAATGACTATTATGTTTTTTTAAAATGATTTAACAAATAGATTTTATCCTTCGGGAGCTTACCCTTTACTTCCAAGAAATCCATGAAATTCCCAAACTCAACATTGCTTCTTGACAAGTCTAGGGATTAAAACTTCTAACCAATCTAATTAAATAATTCCACCAAAGTTCTTGATGAAAACCGATTTTCATTTTAAGTGATGAGTACAGGGTCCTGAATATAATGAATTTATATCTACCAATCTAATTAAATAATTCCACCAAAGTTCTTGATGAAAACCGATTTTCATTTTAAGTGATGAGTACAGGGTCTTGAATACAATGAATTTATATCTGGTACTTCTGCGGAAATTGGAATTTTCTTGGGTCAAAAAATAAATGGTTTTGAATTGTAATGTTTTAGATCTTGAATTCTGTCATGCTTTGGATCCTATGAAACAAACTTGGATAAAACTTCACTCTCTGGCACTAGAAGACATCTCTAAACTCAAGATATGTTGATTATCAGCTACCAATCCCTTTCCCCCCATAATCCAAAGGTAACATGAAGTAAACCCAATGTACTTGGCTGACAGTACAGTCAAAATTTGACTGACTAACCCTTGAGGTCCTTTTAAAGTAAACCCTAGTTCAACGGTGAACAAACAGGAGTAATAAAGCAGAAATATTTGATTAGCCATGCATGTATGATTGACCTAGAAATGTCATGTCAGTCGATGCACAGAGAGGTGAGATCTTATGGTTAAAATTAGGGTGTAACAAATGTCCCTATTTAAGTTTCTTCTATCCTGAGATATGGAGACCGAAATCTTCGTCTCGACGTGATAGGAGAGACTTAAATACAAACACGCACAAAATTTTGGCCATAAGATATCACCATATGCATATGATATGCAGTGATATGAAATGCAAGACGGAAATTTTTTTCTCACTCTATAATAAATTACTAGAGCAATTGCTTTATTTAACTTTTTTCTCACTCTATAATAAATTACTAGAGGTAATTTTGACAATACTAAAATTAATAATACATTAAATTTTGAAACAACACTTAAAAATTGAACACTTGAAATTAATACTACAATAACACTACATTTATATCGCAACAAATAATTTTTTTATCTCACAAGTCATTATCGCATCAAAATTTTCTTTTCTGTCTTTCTACATCTCACGAGTCACTTTTTCCTTTTTGCATCATTATTTAATACAATTGAAATTATATAATTATTTTTTATTTTACAATTAAATAACTATTTTCAATTTTACATCTGTATATAAATATATTTTGTATTGTATCAAATATATTTTTTATTTCATAGACCACTATAAGTATAATACATATTTTATTTCTATCAATAATTATTTTAATATAAAAGATAAAATCCTTATTTTTAAATATTAATTTTTTTCATCTCACGAGTCCTTTTTTTCTTTATATTTTAATTTAATTTAATTTATATAATTATTGTTCTTTTTAAAATTAATAGCTAACTAGTGACAAACCCGAGCCTATGCATTGGGTACGTTTTTAGATATGATATGATTTTGAACACACATTTGTTTGTAAACTGTTATAAAAATTGAAAGTTGAAAAATAATAAATTTAGGAATAATAGTAAATTTAAGTTGAAATAATAATCATTGTAGAATATGAAATGTAGACAGTAATATTATAAATAATATAATTAAAAATAAAATCTATTAAAATTTGTATTAGATAAATCAGTTGTTTTAGTTTTTTTTACAAATAAGAGAATGAATTTTATAAGAGAGAAAATAATTTTAAAATATATACTCAATCTTTTTTAATAAGTTCTCTTAATCTTTTTCACATACTTGAAAAATATGGTCAATAAATTTCTATTATTCAATATTTAAATCAGTAGTAAAGTTGTTCTCGTTTATAACAATAATATTTTTTTCCCGTATATAAAAATATTTTAATCAACAATGTATTTTTTCCATATATAAATATTATTTTTGTTTTGATACTATTTATAAAAAAATTTGAATCAATAGTAAAGTTGTTCTCATTTATAACAATAGTATTTTCTCCCCTATATAAAAATATTTTAATCAACAATGTCTTTTTTCCCGTGTATAAATATTAATTTTATTTTGACACTATTTATAGAAATATTTGAATCAATAGTAAAGTTGTTCCCGTATATAAAAATAATTGAATCAAAATATTTTTTTGTTTTGACAATATTTATAAAAATATTTGAATTAATAGCAAATTTTTTTTCGTTTATAACAATAATATTTGAATTAATAGCAAAGTTGTTTTCGTTTATAACAATAATATTTTCTAACTTATATAAAAATATTTTAATCAATAATGTCTTTTTTTTCATATATAAATATTAATTTTGTTTTGATACTATTTATAAAAATATTTGAATCAATAGTAAAGTTGTTCACCTATATAAAAATATTTGAATCAAAATATTTTTTTTGTATTGAAAATATGTATAAAAATATTTGAATAAATAATAAAGTTGTTCTCATCTATAACAATAGTATTTTTTCTCCTATATAAAAATATTTTAATCAATAATATATTTTTCCCGTATATAAATAATATGTTGTAAGTGTAGTGTATTTAATTTAATTTTATTATATCAATTTGATACAGTGGGAATCAACTTACTCCAAGAGAAAGTTTTTTTAGTTTACTCCAACTTAAAGTCTAATATAATAGTTAATTAAGTAAAAAGTTAATTTAATCATTAAATTAGATTCAATTTAAAGGCTATGACGTGGAGTAAGTTAAAATATGTATTTAAAATTATTTATATATTTAATTATATTCATAAATATAATTTAATTGTCATTTAATTTCTCTAAGTTATCATTTAAAATTTACCTATGTCTTTCATTTTAAATTGAGATATAATCGGTTTGATAATAATTTTTTATTCATTTTTATTTTGTGTGTTGAAAACAATTATTTTTTATTTTCACAGTAGAAATATTAATCAATATTCTAATTAAGTCCTTAGATTGTATAAAACACTAAATAAATATTTCTTTAAATTACAATGTAAATTTACCTATCTCTTATTTATTCTAAATTGAATTTTTATTTTGATTTTTATGAAGTGTCTAACATCAAAAATAAATTGATTTTATAGTAAAATAACTCAAGTCACACAAATTATTTTAAACAAAACATGTATAACGGAGATGGGTGAAATTTTTTAAAAAACAAAAGATATTAATTAATATTTTTTAAAACAAACAAATAATAATTACCTATGGTTTAACCTTAAAAAAAATAGTAGAGAATGAGATATATGATATAATTTTAAGTTTATAGTGAAAAACTTATATATAATTTAACAATAACTTGTCATAAACATTAGAAGTTTAAAAAAAGAAAACTTAAAGATTAATAGTAAATAGGAGTATCACATAAAAGTTCAATGCTTTAACCGATCATAAGTGAGAAATGAATGTTATATAATATGATTAGGGTTGGCAATGAACCAAACCAACTCGAAGATAGTTCGGAATTCGACTCGACAATTAAATCGTTGAACTAGGTTCATGAACCAAATGAGTTGAGTATGAGCGAAAAATTAAGTTCGTTAACTAAATGAGCTGAACTTGAACTATACATAGTTCGACTCGTTAGGTTCATGAGTCAACTCGATTACATATGAAAAGAATTATACTGTCTTTAAGATTAGGTTTAAATATTTACTTCAAATCTTAGACAAATTTAATCTTCAATTTAGTAGTTTTTGAATTAGACTCTCAAATGTATCTCTTGAAAGTTGTGTAGGTTTTGAATTAGTAGATTTCGAAGATAAAGTTAAATTTCAATATGATAACTTTTATTTTATTTTAATATTTTATTTAAAAAATATATATTTATTTAAAATATCAAATATACTAAAAATATATATATATTTTAAAAAATAGTTTTTAAGTTCGTGAACCATGTGAGCTGAACCTAATGAGATGAACCTAACGAGCTGAACCGAACTGTTCGTGAACTTATAACGAGTCGAGTTTGAGCTTAAA